AAAAAAAAAAAAAAAAAAAAAAAAAAAAAAAAAAAAAAAAAAAAAAAAAAAAAAAACCTCCGAAACGGTTCTACATCGTTGCTTTTACAGTCATTTCCGCTCCGAAAATGGGGAAGCTGCTTTGTGATTCCACCACGGCTGTAGCCGAATCGTTTCCGACCTCCTCACCGGCCGTTAATTGGCGGGACCAGAACTCTTCCCCTGGTATAGATACTAATGGAGCTCTAGATCTTCTGGACCAGTCGACGGCCGTTGTGGCCACAGCTTGGGATGATGTTCTTGGCCTTGAGGACCAGCAGAGGCGGCAGCTTCAGAAACTTCATGCTAAGGGCGTTCTCTGGAAGCATCCGAAGGAGGATAGTGCTGATTCCTCCTCTGCGCCGTTGAGATCTGCGGTGTTTCGCCTCTCGCATGGTGGTGAGGTGTCTTCTGATGGAAACTGCTTGTTTACGGCTTCTCATAAAGCTATGAGCATGGCGCGTGAGGTCGACGCTCGGGAGCTCCGGCGGCGGACGGTGAGGCGATTCTCGGAGGATTTCGGATCTGCGAGATTGGAGGAGAGAGAGGTGATTAATGACGCGATTAGGCACCTCTACTCTCCCGATCTGAAAAATGGATGGGGAATCCATGTGGTTCAAGAGGTCAAATTCTTGGCGAAAAAAGAGGATCGGCCGGCACTAGACGGAGCTATCGATGAGCTCGTTCAACTCGGCATGCAGAGGTATCATTAATTCTTGGTTACATTGGATCTGAAATCTGTCTTCTATAAAAAATTTTCACATCTAGACTGCGATAATCCTGAGATCTAGATTGTTTTTCGCAAATTTTGTTTACGGCGATAGCGCCTTTCTCCATGTATTCGCATCTCATTTTGTTTGCTCCGATTGAAGAGAAACGGCGGCGGAGTCGATTTACAAAGAAAGATGTATTCCGATTAACGACGGTGCGAGTTGGGCGAAATACATGTCAATTTCCGGTTCCAATGATGACGAATACGATATTGTTACTCTGCAATACACAGAGGACGGATTGTTATCTGTGGACGAGAACAGAGAGGGCCACGCCGCAGCCTTTGGGGATGACATAGCGATTGAATGTCTCGCAACAGAGTTCAAGCGTGAGATATACGTTGTAAGATTTCTTGTCTTACTGTTAAAGAACCAACCAAACCCTTTCTTCTTGTCTTCCATTGTGACTACAGTTGATTTTTCACGAGTTTGTTTGATAATATTAGGTCATTGACTTTTTTAGTCTTTAACTTTTTGATAATCCTGTTTCTCTTGGAACTTCCATGGCATGTGATGTTTGACAAATTGTTCAAGATGGTTGCTTATAGTACATATAAATTGGTGAATCTGAAACTGCTTTGTTCCAGAAAAGTTCTTAGCCTAAGTATGGACAATAAATTGTACAGGTTTATGAGATGATTCCTTTAAGAAATTTCATTCATGATTTTAGAGATGTGAATTGTTTCCAAGTTTTTTTGTTGTTGGTTTACAATTTCATGCTGATGGGTAACTAACTTACCTGCTTTGTGAATCGAAGCTTTCTTCCATAAAGGGTTCTAGATCTTGAAAGGACCTTATTTTTATAGCATCGAACTTATATTACATTAAAATTTATTTTGAAAGTTTCTGACCCACAGCCCTGAATTATGTATGAACTTGAAGGTGCAAGCACATGGATCCGACGCGATGGTTGATGAAGAAAATTGTGTATTCTTTCTTCCACACCGTCCCAGGAGTGAAATTTGCGAAGTTCCTTTCTTTCTTTTCATGAAAGGAACAGGTAATGAAAGAACCTTCATTCTTCATTGAACAACATGGCCAATCTCTCCAAAGTTTCAGCTAACATTTTCTTTATCATCATCATCATCGCCTATTGCTAACATCGTATACACAAACAATTATCGTATACAGGTTGGTGTGGCGCGGGAGCTGACCATTACGAACCTCTCATCGCCAACTGCTGTTCGTTTGTTTCACAGGAGAAAGTGGCAATGGTACTTTGAGGTTTCAGTTCTGCAATTTTGTGGCTTAGATTTCGAGTAGAGAATTAATTTAGCATGTTTAATTTATTTTTGAGGGTATTATTTGGCTTGCAATCAAGATGGGAGAAATCAAAATCTGGGTTGCATTGCTTTCCATTTTTCTTTGGGGGGTAGAGAATTTTTTTTCTTTTGTTTTGTCTGACTAACATTTTGCAGGTTTTGCGCCTGCAGTTGAGCAGCTATTTGTGAGTTTTTCGGCCTTTTTTTCTCCAAATTTTTGGATGTTAATGTTAATGTTAATGTTGTTGTTGTTTGAGTTACCATTTCTTAATCGAAGAGAGAGTGCCTGTATAGACACTGTAGTGTAGTAGGGTTGGTCATATTTGAGTCCAAATTCCAGAAAATACTGCATCATCTTTCTGCTGTTGTATCCTTATCCTTTTGTTTTTTAATGCTAAAAGGCAAGCTTTATTCTTTTTCTCAAGCCACTTATATCCACTTTATTGCATTCTTTTGTTTGGTGAGAACAAAGGGATTGGATTTGGGTAGGGGATAGGCACTACCCCCTAGGCTTTATCGGTAGAAGTTATAGTCTATGGTCAATGAGGGCATTGGGATAAGACATTTATATTATTCTGCCCATTGGTGAACCATATTGTAAATGGATTGATATGATAAAATGTCCCTTTTTCTCTTTTGACTATTAAGATTATTCTTTATTCTGATAACCTTTATCTGAATGTGTGAAAACTGTTTTGGTATGGGTCAATTTCTATGTAACTTTTTAAAACCCTTCCGTTTGATATGTATTATACATATGTGATATCTCACGTTGGTTGGAGAGGAGAATGAAGCACTTTTTTTATAAGAGTATGGAAACTTCTCCTTAATAGATGTGTTTTAAAGTCTGAAGTTGACAACGATACATAGCAGGTCAAAACGGATAAAATTTGTTAGCGATGGGCTTGGGAGGTTAGACATTGAGCAGTGTGTCAGTGATAATGATGCTTGGCTCCCAAAGGGGTGGATTGTGAAATTCTACATTGGTTGGAGAAGAGAATGAAGCATTCCTCATAACGAGTAATGTGTTTTATAATCGTGAAGATGTTGATGGTACGTAATATTTTATTTGTTAGTAGTTGGTGGGTCTAGGATATTATAGTATACGACAAAAACCCATCAAATTAAGTCATGGCTGGTTTCCTTGAATTGGTTTGATCATCGAACCCTAATCTGAAGGATTGTTGAGTTCTTTTCTAGCATTGATCGAATTTTTTCATTAGGTTGTTGATAAATGAAACCATTCTAAAATTTTCAGATTTTAAAATTCCTTTCTCGTATAGATTCATTTCAATTATAATAGTGATTGGTGTAACCGTCTAGGTCCACTACTAGCAAATATTGTTCATTTTGGCCTGTTACATATGATCGTCAGCTTCACAATTTTAAAACGTGTTGATTAAGGAGAGGTTCCACGTCTTTATAAAGAATACTTCGTTCCCCTCTCAAACCGATATGAGATCTCACAATCCATCTCGCTAACATTGGTACATTGTATGGTGTTTGGTTCAGATACCATTTGGAACAGCTCAAGCCTACTATTACCAAATCCTATTTGTTTTGGCTCATTACGTAACACCGTCAGCCTCACAGTTTTAAAACGCGTCTATTAGGGAAAGGTTTCCACACTCATAAGAAATGCTTCGTTCTCTTTGGTGAATTGTGAGATCTCACATCGGTTAAAAAGAGAAACAAAGTATTTCTTACAAGGTGGCAGAAACCTTTCCTACTAGAGATTCTAACTACACAAGAGACCAATATAAAAGAAGCTCTCTTACAGAATATGGGTTTAATGATAGTCTTTGTACACTTAGTACGAATACCACTTTACCGAAAAAAGCTACATTGTCAACAACGAAGGCAAAGTATATGGTTAATGTTGGTCATCGTGGAACTTGTTTAACTATTTGGACATACACTGACACCCTACCCAACTCGAGAATTGCAAAGAAAACTACAATCGAGGTATAGAGTTAGGACGAATAGGTTGAGAAAGGCCAATAATTGGTAGGGAATTTGGGCAAAGAGAATGTGTTGCATTCATCTCCATAATGTAAATTTGAGGCATAGTTATGAAGAGAGGGAGAAAGAGAGGAGGGCTGACACCAATTTATTGACAACAAAACAACACACATTTACCACATACCTAAAACAAATCAAATGCCTACCAACCAAAGAATCCTATGCTTCTATCTAACATTCCCATTTAGTTACATACTTCCTTAAAAAAGGAATTTTGATAGACGACAATATCGTGAAGTTTTGGTTCGTGAATCTTTTAGATTTATAAATATTTTGATTCATTGTATGAGTATTAGTGTGTTTATTTAATATCGTCTAGAGTTTGAGTGAGTGTCATTTTGTGTTTGTCTAGAGGCACTTAGGATGAACTTTGTAAGTGAGATTTTGTAGTATGAGAATACTGAGAGATTATTTTGGTTATTGATAAGTCAACTTAATCCTCAGCCCAGCAATACAAGTTTTTGCTGAGGTAAGAACAGTTGAAGGAAAGAAATTAACACCTCCTTGTTCAAAATTCGGATCCATCAAAAAATAAAACTAGAATTAGATTTGGAACTTTGTTTTAAATTGAGTTATTCCACCATCGAACTTGATCGAGGCTTGATTGAATGATTTTATTGCAAGAATGACTTGAAACTTAGAAATAGTTTCAATGGTAAAAATGATGCTCGGATTCATAAAGGGAACGTCTCAACTTGAGAGATCAATTTCATTCGTCACAAATCAATCTGATTTTTACAAGATAATGTGTGGGTATTTATAGTCTCTCCAAAGAGTAAGTGGCCGTGATTTAATCCTGATCCCATTAAATCTTCACAAAAGATAAAGTCAATTTTGACCTTTACAAACTTTATGAAATTAAAAAATTTGTTAAATTTCTTGACCTTGATTCGTGTAATAGGTCAGTTTTGTTGAATCTTCTTGGCCTTGGATTTGTAGTAGGTCATTTCTTGGCCTTGATTCGTGTAATAAGTTAGTTTTGTTGAATCTTCTTGGCCTTAGATCGTATAATAGGTCAGTTCGAACATTTGGAACACAGTAATTTTTATCAGTTTATCAACGTAGAAAAATTTATTTTCTTCAAACACGTGTGGGTATATGAGTGTGATCGATCTTACTTCTACTTGAGCTGATTCATAATATAAAAGGATCATCCGCTCCAATAAAGCTGATTTGCTTTTTTAAAAAATAAAAACCGAAGTAAACCAAATAAACTCGGTATTAAAATTTGGAAATAAAACCGCGAAGCCGAACCGGGTTCGAAAGCGGTTTAGGTGTCTTGGAGAAAGGGTTGGAAAATGGAATAATAGTAAAAGGAAAGGGGGGCAGAAAAACCGGTGTGACCGTACGAAACTCTCGAGCGCACTGTCCGAGAAAAGCGGAAAGAGCAGTGTATGCCAGCTCACTGTCTGGTGTAGCAGCAGTCAGCACGTAACCCCGTCATCACACACTCTCATCACCGCCGCGTCTTCACACGCGCCTCCTTTTTCTTTCAAACCATATCCTTAAATCAAATTTTATAACTTAATAATCATTCTATGAGGTTTAATCTATTTTATTACTTTTATGGTTAATAATTTAATTTCTCGAGAGATGAAATTATGATAAACCCTCTTTCCAATCTCGAGAGATTTAACAAGAGATTTCAGAAACAACTTAATCAGTTCATCACTAGTCGATATTGTCCTATTTGAACTTTGCTTGCTAGAGCTTTTCTTCAAAATTTTAAAATGTATCTCCTAGGTAGAAGTTTCTACACCCTTATAAGAAATGTTTCATTCTCATCTTTAAGCGATGTGGGACCTCACAATTGTACTATGCAGAAAAATAAAATGGTTCGTGCGGATAAGAGCAAGAGAGCCACCTTCCCTACCCTATCTCGAGAACGTCCCTATATAGTAGCTTAAAATTGGTAACACGAGTTATTAACAAGAAATTTTTGTTGAAGTGTGTTGTGGATGATTTCTTATAATATATTGATATATAACAAATTGTTAATATTCTTATTCTTTTAATTAAAAAAAAAAAAGTAAATAAAGGTACGCGCCCACTCGCCCACGCGCCACGGCTGGATCCTCGAAGAACAAACCAGTCAGGCACCGTAGCCAATCAAAACTCTTAGTTCCAATTTATTTTTGTACTAACCTAATTTTCTTTTATTACCGTCCTTCATTTATTATAAATCATTTTTAAATTACTTTTTTATACCAAATTAAATTTTGTCAATACAAAAATTAATTATTTAATAATTTTATTACATCAAATTTCTAATATTTTATATATATCTGAACAAATTTAGGTGCACTTAAATTAGAAACCCTTATTTATTTTATTCCATGCATATATTTTCTAATTAATTATTATTCAACAAAAGTATAAGTGAATATTTTAATTAACTTGATGGGGAAACTATTTATTTTATTTTAAAATTTTAAATGCCACATCAGTCATTTTCCTACATAAACCTGCCACATCAGCCCTATTTAAAGTCCTTGAACTAGAATACTTAAAAGTTTAATTTTAAAAAATAATTAATATATATTATATTTTTATTTATTATTTTACTTTCAACTTTTTTTTTAAAAAAATTATATTAGATCACGTAATTTAAATAAAAAGAAAAAGAAAAAGAAAAAATGTTTTAATTAAAAAATAAAAGTTCTTTTTGAAATTCAATTATTTGTCCAATACATTTTGGTTATTATTTCGCTCCTTTTAGGGTTTAGGGTTTAGTTCCTTTTTTTTTTTAAATAAATTTTTTTCCTTAATTACTAATAAATATAAGCTGATATTTGTTTTTATTTATTTATTTATTTTTAATTTGTAAAAATAAAAAATAAAAAATATTCTTTCGCATCCTTCCCCCATCCTTCTCCATCCTCCGTCAACGGCAACGCCCACGACCACGCGATTCCGACGAGATCTCCACAACGCCACCACGAGCTGCGACGGCGTTCGAACGGAAAGCGACACAGCGTTCCGAAATCTCAGACGTCCGCGGCGGCGAAGACCGCATAAACAGCCGTGAGGTGGCGGAAAATATCCACTCTGCGTTGGGCCTACATATATCCACATTTATATAATTTAGCAAAAAAAATAAAAAGTTTAAATGTCATTAAAAATAAATAATAATAATAATAAGTTGAGCAAAATATTGTAACTAAAAATAAAAAATAAAGAAATAATAAAACAGAAGGTTCTTTTTAAGAAGCGAAGAAGATTACGTAATTCATCCCCGTTTCTTCTCATTCTTCCGTGAAAGCTCCCATGGAGATTAAGCACAAAGGTAAAGTGCACCCATCGCCGTCGTCCTCGCCGCCCTCATCTTCCTCCTCTGTCTTCAAGCTTCTTCCGGCCGCCATTTTAGCGCTAGTTTCAGTTCTTTCTCTCGATGAGCGTGAAGTCTTGGCCTACATGATCGCTAGGTCTATTCAATCCTCTGCAGTCACCTCCACTCACGATTCCAGGAAGAAATCGGCTAAAAAAGCTTCGATCAATGGCGGAAACAGTAATGTTAGTACTAGTTATCATAAAACTCCTGTGTTTAGTTGCGATTGCTTCTACTGCTACACTGCCTACTGGTGCCGCTGGGACTCCTCTCCTAATCGCGAACTAATCCACCAGGCGATCGAGGCGTTTGAAGATCACTTAACCAGCGGCGAGAAGCCGAAGAAGAACACTGGAAAAGGAAAGAGGAGAGACAGAATCAGCCGTCAAGCTACTGACAAATCTCTGCCTGTTGTTCAACGTCCAACGCCGGTGGTCGATGAGTGCGTCGTCGTTCCGCTATCGCCGGAACGTCAATCAGCGGCGGCGTCTGTGTTGGAGGAGACAAAAGGAAGTCCGGTGAAGGAAGTTGGAGAGAGCGGTCCGGGAAAGGAAGTGGACGGCGACCACCAGAAGGGTTTGGCGACGAAGGTACTTCCGGACGTGTTAGGGTTTTTCAATTCTCGTTTGTGGAGTCTGTGGAGTCCGAATCTTTAAATTAATCATATTGAATTTCAAAATTTTCCGCGTCCCAAAAATTATTATAATTAAAATAAATATATATTTATTTTATTTTTCTTTCCCTTCCTCCAATGGCATTAATTAAATTCAGGGTCTCTTTCTCTCTCTTTTACCAATGCAATTATTTCAAAATTCCAATGGTTTATTCACTCTCTTTTTGGCAAAATCCTGAATGGTATTATTATAGTTCATGAATTATATATACTGATGGTTCTTTACCCTTCATTTAGTACTCATATTCCTTTAATTATGATATCAAATTTATTGTTTATATCTAGTTCATCAGTTCATTAATTCCAAAACTTTGGGTTCCATTTGATACTCAAATTGGGAGACAATATGTGGCTCAAATTATTATTGTGGTAGAGAACGAGTTAAGAAGTTTTGTGACAATCGAATCTAGTGATTAAATCATCTCAACACTCTGTTCTGATTTAAGGAAAGTTTTCTTCTATTAATGCTTAGTCACTTTTGGCATAGGAAGTATTTAATATTTTTGGTGATTTATGTTGCCATTAGCTTCTTGCCAAATTTGAAATACAAATATCAGTGGTTTTATTTGAGTTTGAGTTGCATTTGCTTTAGTTTAAGTGAGATTAGTGTTTGAACCCATATTTGCAAGTTAGGAGCTAAGTTAATTTTGTTTTGGGCAAACGTTGTATAAGATTAAAAGAAACTGAAGGGAGACTTATGACTCGAGGTCAAGAGACACAAAGCAACAAACAAACACGAGAAGATTAAGACAAAGTCAAGACCTAGCCTATAAGAAAACACGACTACCAACTAGTGAATGGAGTGTATAATAGACTCTCGTGATCCGATCTGTAAGCCTTGATATGAGATCTCATATCGGTTGGAGAGGGGAACGAAACACTCTACCTAGTAGACATGTTTGAAAAATGTAGTAGACATGTTTGAAAAATGTGAGGCTGACAGTGATACGTAATGGGCTAAAACAAACGAACGTCATATGAGATTATCTATTTTAGAGTAAACTATTAAAAGGATGGAACGTATCAAAGATAGAAACTCATGTCCTCGGAATAAAGGATTCCAAACCTCATTCCCTACCACAAGGGCAACCAAATGGTTAGGTAGCAAACTAGAAGAAGTAGTCAAAGAAGACAATGAACGCAATGCAAAAGCACCAAGTGAAAGAGACGAGGATTAATGGAAGCAAAAGATCTAAAGCCTTAGAGGACGCCCTTCTGCACTACCCTTAACTATCCCTACAGGCAGTCCAAGAATGTCAGTCCCACGTGATTCACAGAGGACGATCCACCAGGCTAGCTAGCTACCCTTGCATCTCTCCCTTAAAGTCACCAAGGCCTCCACCGCCGCCGCCACCGCCGCCGCCACATTCATGCCAGGATCAACGGAATGTCCAGCCTCACCCATCGACCGATCAGCTACGTTTTGCTGAATTATCATTATGGTGGTTGTTAGCAAATGTATAGATTAACAGTTTGTCACAATGAGGACTATTCCATTAATAATCTATGTATTGAGGTAAGATTTGAATATACTTAATTTATTCCACTTTAGGAAATACTCACTAAATTTACACGTTCAAGGCTTATACTAAACGTGATTGATGTTAATAACTCATCATCAATAATCAATGTGTTCTACTTCTTTCGAGATTAGAGGTTCAAATTCTTCCTACTAAATTGATATGATACTATTAAGAAAATTTATCCAAATCACCTCTAAACTGCAAGGTTCAATACAATCAAACTCTACAATGAATCAATGGGATTCAAATACTAACGAACTGTAAATTGATGAATTCAACATCAAATTTGATGATAACTTTGAATCAAAGATTAAAACAGCAAAAATTTCTGGAGCCTGGTGCACCATAAATAATACAAAACCAGGAGACGCCAACCCGATCAGAGTTATGAATAAGATTACAAAGGCCTTCTCATTGATGAGCTATTGAGGTTAGAATTTGAAGTTTGTTTCAATAACCAAAACAAAAAGTGGCCCTAAACAGAGAGAAACCTTGGTTGGTAGGTAGGTGGTAGGTTAGCCTTCTAAGAAGGAAAATGCTGAATAATGGGGTGTTTCCTTGGGACCTAATGCATTTCCCAGAGACAGCAAAATTGAATATGTCACAATCTATGGAAGCTGGAGACTCCAATTAACAAAAAGCTTACTTGTCTCCACCAAGGCTCTGTAGTCTGAAGGAGAACAAAACATATCCAAAAGCCTTTCTCCTTGGAACCTCCTTAGCCTCCTCTACAATAGCAGCTAATGAAAACATCTAGTGGACTGTTGTTTGGCGCTCATCGGCATCTTCATGCTCAACCTAGCAAGTTGGCACAAGGAATGTTATTAACCACAAAATAACGTCATAGTTTCGATTTCAGAAAACGTGCCTAAACAAATGCAGAATGGCAAGATCCAGTTCATATTTAAATAAAATAACAGTTCATGGCTATTGTTACACTTCCGTGGTGTCAAAATTGTAATGGTGTGGCAAGTAATCGGCTATTCGAGTAAATGGTGGGTCGACCACGTGTACTATACAATTTCATTAAAGATACATTCAAAGAGTGAGAATTCATAAATAATAGAGAAAACGTGTAGATGGCTTTTTATGTAATCTTCATGTATGATGTCCGTGATAGAACCCATCAAACAAAACCAGAATGATATTGAAATATACAAGATAAAGGTACTAATAATGGCATGCAAGCTTTTAACCAACTGAATCAATGCCCCTACCTTCACCTTTTTCAATTCACTCTCTTAATAACAAATCATCATAACTTTCTTGACTAATTACTAATAATGGCAGTCCTAATTCTATCATAATAGCCCCCCTATCAGCCAGTTCTACCTATAACAGCTACTAAACATGTGTTGAAATGAATGCCAGATAACTATTGAAGTGAGGTAGGAAATCAACTATTACCTCAACTATAACCCTCGCTTTCTTCTTCAGTTTGGCACGAGCATCTTTCTCGAGCTTCCTCAAAGAAGTAGAGTCCTTTCTTCCTCTCTTGTGAGGAACGTCTATATCTTCAAGGTCTTCATCTATTCCATCTGAATCATCCAAACATTTACATTCAGTTTTCACAAAATCAAACAAAATCCTCTTTTTTAGTGTTGCATGATCTACGTATATATTACCAAGTGAACAGAGAAAATATATCTCTAAAAAAAAATTAAAAAGACTGCAATGATTTTTTGACAACTCAAAATCAGGTTTTCTTCTGAATTATAAACCCTCCATTACCACTATCTTCATCTGCTTCTGGATTATGAATTGCAAGACCGCCAAAATCCTCCATATCTTCTTCTTCTTCTAATTCTTCATACCCTTCAACATATTCGATTTCTGGTTCCTGCTTATGCCAAGAAAATATACAAGTAATTATACGATGGAATGCAGAACTACTCATCAAGTTCCAGACTCTTCCTATATGGAATGAGAAGGGCAAGTGCACTACTACAAATTTTGCACCACTACCTCCTCCTCTTCACTGGCAGCCTGTAATTCTTCCATTTCAAGAACTTCATTATATGCTTCGACAGGATAGTTGTATATATCACCATACACTCCTTTCTTAAGGCGTTCCAGTAGTTCCTTTTCAATGCTCTGCAAAAAAATAGATATGAGACACGGTTTCCCTACATTAACTACTCCATTAAGGAATCTTTCTAGTAGAACCAAAGAAAGACTCCATTTGTTTCAATATCAAGAGTATCCCAGATTTCAACACAAATACTCAACCTTATCTAACAATGCTGCTTTCTCAGCCTTCTGCTCCCTCCTGGCTTCTCTTTTAATCTCTTTTCTGGGCGTAGTCATTATCTTCTCCCTGTTCGAAAGTAAAGTGATACATAGCAAAAATCAATGAAATATAACCTTATAAACAATTATACTAGACTACTTTTCATCAACACATCTGATTAGATGCATAAAACATAACTAACATCGAGTTTCAACAAGCTCGAAACTTTACAATTATAGAAAGTGATCTTTCCATTTTTTCTGCTTCTTCAACCAGAATCAGGAAAGCAAAAAACATTTACATAATGAAGCTTATTGAATACCCATGAATAAATGTAGGTAGAACAACATCCACCATTTCCAAAACAATGAAGAGTGCAGAAAATAGGAACCTTGTTTTCAAAGCAAGCTTCCTCATTCGTATCCGCATTTGGGTCATTTTAGTCAATCGTTGCTTTGTTTTGTGTACAAGTATCTTAGGCCAGTACATCTGTCAGAAGGCGTAAAATATAGGTTAAAGACTCTATAAATTAGAATCAAACAGATCAAGTAAGAAATGAGTAAGATGCATACTTACCAGATGTTTATCTATAATTTCCAGTGCCTTCTCATAATTTCTTGGCAACTTAACTCTTTCCCACAACTCATTTGGCTTATGAGCTCTTTCAATTGTTTTCATATAAAGATAGAAAACCCCTACATGAACAAGAGAATAACATTTTATTATTTGAATGAAAACTTTTTGTTAGTTGTTTCTCAACTATAGACAAAACATGATATTGACAAATGATTTGTTATAATAAGGTATCAAACTAATAGTAGCTTTCCAGAAGGTATTAAAGAACAAGAACAAGAAAGACTAACTACTTACTGTGTTACCTCCCCCGTATATTTATTATAAACAACTTTTTCTTAACATATTTGTTCTTATAATCTAAAATCCCATAAAGAAATTGTTGAACAATACAAGTAGCACACACTAAACTACCGTGAACGAAACCTGAGATCTAAATGCAAATAATGAGGAGCAGGAAATACCATCATGGTCACGAATAGTAGCATAGCGACTGTTAGCCAGAGGACATGAACTCCGATTACATATCCCAGTAACATTATAAGGGTTTCTACAGAAGTTCCCAGTTGAAATCCTACGGAAGCATCAAAACCAGTTATAATTTTGGAAAAAAGCATAAAAAAAACTATGAAATAAGAATTGTATAAAACTCTATAAAAAAGTAAAACTCACTTGGCCATGAAGCTGCAGTGATTGTGGCGGATGACCTGCCATATTACTTCGTCGTGCTGCATTCTTGACTAAAAAACATAGGAAACAATAACGAATGAAGGTTGTGGTCAGTTGAATATTTATCCCTGTTTGAACACTTGAATTTGAAAGAATTTCAAATCCTACATGTTTGGACGATAGGTCGGATTTGCCAGGATTGTAAACTTAAAAAATCATTTTCAACTTTACCCTATAAGAGATCATTGTTTTTAAATTTACGCCAACACCACTCAAAGCGAGTTCATATGCTTTAATTGTTTCTTCCATAATCAAGCAAACTCAATTTTTAACTAATAACAGCAATTTCAATCTCTTCAAATACAGCTTTTCTATTCTTTTACAAAAACCAACCAAATTACAGGTGAGTTTTCTTTTGCTTTGTTCATCTTCTTCAACAAAACCTATCTCTATTCGTTCATTTAAATAGACTGGTTGAACATTAATTGAAGAAATCAACAAAAAAGAAATGTTTCTAGATTTTCTTTACAGTAGATGAACAGAACAAACCAATAGAAACTAACGAAATAAAATAAAATAAATCAAACCCTTGGAGATCTTAAAAATAAGTGGAAACAGCGCGATCTTACCTACGGCGCGGGTCAGGGGCTGAACCACTGTGTTTCAGCGAAAAGTGGCCGAGATAAGTAAATCCGATTGCTCGGAAAGGCGAGAGAGTGTGAGAGGGAGGGGCGGCGAAGATTTAGTCCGAACGCTGAGACTGCATCAGCTGAGAGTGCAGCGTGCGGCAGCAGCCGCTGAGACGGCGTCGGGCGGGAACGGCGTGCGGCGGGGCGTGGTGCAGTGGCTGATACTGGCAGAACGCGAAAATAGGTTTAGGAAAAGAGAAAGATTGAATAGTTAAAATATAAAAAAATAGTGGACCGATTTTCAAATGACAAAACATGTTATTTTAAATTGTGTGTATAAATAATTTTTAATTTTGTTAATATAAATTTAAAACTCTAAACCTTTCATTTCGTCTTTAACATCAAATTATTAATTTTAAAAATTAAGAAATTAAATAGACATAAATATTTTGAGATTAAATTTGTAATTTAATTTATAATATAAAAAAAATAAATAAGTATTTAATATTGTATTGGTAAAAAATGTGTATTATATTATATTAATAAAATAACAACCAAGGGGCAACATCGTAATATTACTTTATTTTTTCTCTGCCACAAAATTTATCCTTATTGTAGCTTAGTCTTTATATTTTCATTAAATTGCATTTTTAGTCTTATCTTTGATCAAATCTAATATTAATTTTTTATTAATGTATTGTTTTTTTTTTTTTTTTCCTTCAAACTTGGCTGGTATAAAAAATCTATAAAAATAAATTTATATTTTTTCCGCTAAATTAATAAAAATACCCAACTTTTTACCGACGGTAAAATATCTTTATAGTTAATTTTGGATGAAAAATAGTTAGTATTTTATTTCAAACCTAACCTTCGACTTTTTTAAAATGTTTAAAAATATATTTATAATTAATATTGTATTTAAAAAAAACATACAAATTAACCCACTCTAATTCTATTAATTTTTTTAAGCACGGTTAACCGTCGTATAATGTAGTGAAGAAAAAAAAAATAAACGTTTAAAATATTATTTTTATTAAAAAAATTTAAATAGAGAAAGTGCTACTTTTAGGTGGAATTTCTTTAATTTTCCACTAATAATAATTATGGAAACATTAATTAAATGATAGGAATGGTAAACGTGATTAATAGTTTTTTTCTTTTTTTTTTTTTAATTTCCCTTTCCAAAATGTTAATTATTGTAAAGAAAAAAAAATCTTCATGGGACCATCTTTTAAAGATAATTTTAATTTTTTTAATTTTTTAATTATATTTTTAAACCAAAAAAAATAGAATTTGACACATTTTTTAGATAAATTTAATTTAAAAGAAAATAAAATAAATTTTTATTCCCAAATAAAATATTATAGTTTGATTAATCAATAATATTAGGAAAAAAGGAGGCAATTTCCCATGGGAGTGTTTGAATATTGTTAAAATATTTAATAAATAAATAAAATAATAAATATCAATATTAGTAGGTAAGACGAAGGATGGTCAAAGAGAATGGACTATAAATAGTGACATTAAATTACTTTTATTCACACCCAAATTCATTTAATCTTTTTTTTATTTGACCAATTTGCCCATGTTTTTTATTTTCTTTTCATTTTTTTCAAATAACATTTTCGTCCATTCACACACATATCTTTATTTTCCACCCCACAATCATTTCACACCATTATTGAAAATTATAGTAGTACGACTAATAATAATAAACTATAACAGTCCAACTCCCTCGTAAGAAATGTTTTGTTTCTCTCTTCAACCGATGCGAGTCCTCACAAACCGTCCCCCTTGAGACCCAGCATCTAGCAAACGGTCCGGTGTCTGGGTTTGATACTATCTGTAACGCCCCTAGTTTTTTTGGTTGAAGAGGGAAACGAAAAATTTCTTATAAGAGTGTAAAAACCTCTCCTTAGTGAGTGCGTTTTTAAATCTTGACAAAATGTTGGGAAAGAAACGCCCAAACAAAAACGACAGTATATACTGGTTGTGGGTTTGAGCGGTTACATAAACTATAGGTAAATTAAAATTAATTAATTAATTAATTGTATATATATATATATTTTGTAACATACATGTATAACTTTTTTAAATTATTTTATACATAAGTTTATCTCACTTAAATAAATATATATGATTTTTGAAATATAATAGGTATAATTAATTATTGAATATTAATTAAAATCATTTATTTGAGAATATTTATTAGGATAGATTATTAAATAAATGGAAATTTAATTAGTTCAAATTTGATAATAATTTAATTTAATTAAAAATACGCAACACCATTTTTTATAGTAATTATTTAATTTTTAGTCAAAACCAACCCATTATAAAATTATAATATTAATTTATTTTCAAACCGCTTCAATTATAATATTGAATCCCTTAAAAAATTTTAACATTACAAAATTTATATTTGCCTTACATTTAATTAATGCTTAAATAAAATAATTGTGACAGATAGACAATGTATCTAATATTTTTATTATTAAAAAGTTTTTTTTTTAATAAAATGAAATAAATATTTAAAATATTTGTAGAAAAATTCAAAACTTGTCTAATACTTTTTTCTAGAACAATTGAAATAAATAAAAAAAATAAGTTTCTTGATTTTAAGGATTAAACAAAATTATTATTTTTTTTTTCCTTAAAATTTGACTAAGATTTTATTATTAAGAAACCTTATTAAAATTATTATTATGACCGAGCTTATTTTTCGCTTTTAATAATTAAAATATATATATTTTTTATTTGATTTAAAGTTTTTAAAATTAGGGTAAAGATAAACTTTTGAAAATAATGCATCTTTATAAAAGTCTTTGGCTCCCAAAAAAAAATCCATTAATGTAATGATAGATATGGAACTAATAAATCATGCTTTCCATGTTTAAACAGTATTTTAAAATAAATAATATTATAAATTAAATCATCAATTTTATTTTTAAACTGGGTCACTGGCTTAAGACATGTCGTGAACTAGGGTCATCTAGCTCGACCCTAACCGACTCGTAGAGATCCTGATCAATCAAGTCGTATGCTTGTGACTAATTTCTATAAACTGTAGACCATCATCGTGTAGCCTAAGTTTAGAAAATCGAGTCATTATAAACTTAAGTACCACTTTTACCTTAAAAATTTAGAAAATTTTCAATTGAACTCATACGGAATATCAACAGTTTTTTTTTTTAATTTTAAAAAAGTTTAAACATATTATTTTTAAAAATTTAATATTTTTAAGGGTATTTTTGAAATATTTTTAAGGATATTAGAATATTTTTAGGATAAAAGTTGTAAAGCTCAAACTTATTCTTAATAAAAATATTTCACATTTTTCACTAAAAGATGTCATTGGATACGTAAATATTGCGTAATTCATAAATAAATAAATAAATAAATAATATATAATAAACCGACATAATAAAATTAAAAAAAATGAAAAACAAAAATAATGGGGTTGTCTTTATAAATGATATGATGTTCTTACCCGCCGTTCACGAATATTGAAACATCGAAGTGTTGTTGAAAATGATGGAAAATTTCCCAAATTTTCCGACGACTCCATCCTCTTCAACCTCCCTCTCTCTGCAGCAAATGCTGATTTCTCGAGCTTCCGAGCTCGCCGGAATCCATGGAGGAGTCTCCGGCGGGGTTACTCTGTTGTCGGATGGAGTAGATTTGTCGGAGAAGAAGGTGGGTGTGCCGGCGGCCGGACGGGGAGGTTATGAACAGAAAAAGAAGACGTTGAGCCGGAGATTCTCTTTTCAAACAAGAAGTCAAGTTGATATTCTCGATGATGGTTATAAATGGAGAAAGTATGGACAGAAGGCTGTGAAGAACAACAAATTCCCAAGGTATTTATTATTATTATTTTTTTAATTTTAGAACTCAACATCGATCCCGATTAAGAATGAGAGTGGGTGCGACCTAAAAACTAAGAGTATACACGGGTTGAGTTGGACTAACTTAAAATTTTGAATTAGTTAGCTTAGTAATCCTTTGTGATTCGGTTGGGTTGGGTCGGGTCGGGTCCAACTATCATGTTAAAAAAAAAAAGTTTAGACTAGTTATTCTAAGGGGTTGGTTGGACATGCGATTAAGAGTGAGAATGGGTGCGAAAATTCAGGCCCACCACTAACAGATATTGTCCTCTTCAGACTCTTCCTTTGAAGCTTTCTTAAAACATGTATGCTAGAGAGAGGTTTTCACAGTTTTATAAAGAATGGTTCATTCTCCTCTCTAACCAATGCGGGATGTCAAGTGGTGTGTTGACGCCGAGCGACGAGCAGCGTGCGAATGAACAGGATCGAGAATAGGTTAAATTTTTTCTGAATTAGTTAGGTTAGTAATCCTCTGTGTGTTGAATTGGGTTGGGTTGGGTCAGGTTAAAAAAAAGGTTTAGACTAGTTATTCTAATGGGTTGGTTAGACGGCATGCGACAAAAGTGAGAGTGGGTGCGTGGTGTGCATTTGAGCGGGACACGTAGTGGTAGTGCGGTGGTGCAGGCTTAACAACATCAGTGTGGCGGCGCTGAGAAAAAAAACCCTAAAGTGGAAGGCTAAAGCTAGCCTTCTAGGTTGGGTTGATCGATTTTTCGAATTGAGTTAAAATGGTCGATAACATTGCATTGGGTGTTAAAATTGCAGAAGCTACTACAGATGTACACACCAAGGGTGCAAAGTGAAGAAGCAAGTGCAAAGGCTAACTAGAGACGAAGGGGTGGTGGTCACAACTTATGAAGGCATCCACTCTCATCCCATTCTCAAATCGGCCGATAACTTCGAGTATATTCTGAGTCGCATGCAAATTTACGCTTCTTATTGATCATTTTTCAACCGTGTAAATTTTATTATAATTTTTTTTTCGTAAACATAATAAATTTTTCTTTATGTTCATTCGAACGTTTATATTTGCAGGGTTAATATGTATGAAATTGATATGAAGTTGATGCATACCTAGAGGACCTAGATGAACGTCTAGATGATTTAGTGCACATAAAAGTGATACCCATAGAACCAAATATATGAAAGTGATGCATATCTCGAGAAAAAGAAAAGACACATAAACCAAAATTTCAAGCTTTTAAGTCTTACTGTAGTCATATTAGTCTAAGTCGTGATTGTATCTCTCGACCCCATAGACAGGTCACTTGATTGGGTATTTCAATGAGCAAAGTGAATCAAATTTTAGTTTTTTTTATTAAATTCAACCCGATCCAAACAGAAAAAAAGTCTAGCCTAGTCTAGGGTTGAGTTGGTTAGTCTCGGTTGGTTGGATTATCAAATCATCTGAACACCCCTAATAGAGATCGGAAAGAAATCTTGAATTTGTCAGCAACCGTTATAGAAATGCATTTTTTAATACGTGATAATCCCAACTAGTTTGAGCTGACAATTTCATTCGGAAATTCATTTTGTCTAAGCTTAAGAGAAAAGAAAGTTTTTCTATCGGTAGACTGTGGCATCGTGAGCCAACGTCAACAACAAGGAGGTGGAGACGGAAGACAGTTTCCAAATCTATGTCGGAATTGACCAGCAAATATTATAATTGTATATAGATAGATGACGAAAATCAATGAAACGCGTCCTAAAGAAGTTAATTCATGTAGCTATCCATATATGTAAACAGATATAAGAACAAGGTGGGAACAAAGACGAGGACCATATTCTCAGTCCCGTCCTCGTTCAGCTCGTAAGAAAAAACTCTCTTGTTCAGACCATTCCCTTCAAAGCGTCGTTCTCGTAAGAAAAGTAATACAACCGGATAGATAGTTTTCGATACACGATTATTGGTTAAGCATTATTAATTAAATTCTCAAATACATTGTAACGTTTGAAAAGTGAAGAAAGTTCAAATATTTATAATATTCCAAAGGGCTTTGTCCTTCAAAAGTGGTGGCGTTAGATTTACGCGAATTATATAAATAAAAAATAAATCCTTTTAAAATATCCCCAAATCGGACGATTTTACCCCTATATATTTGTCGATAGTATAAATACCCAATTAACCCTTCCCCTTTTGCGAACCCTCGGCTAACGCTGTCGTCTCCATTTCCTTCTCTGCGAAACTCGGCGTCGTTCCCAAGCGGGGCGGAAGAAAGTGGGTTTTTGTTATCTCTTTCCCAGCGGCGGATTTCAACTTTATCGGAATGGATCCCGACGCGGTGGCTAAGGCATTCGTCGATCATTATTACTCTACCTTTGACGCCAATCGAGCTGGTCTTGCTAATCTCTACCAGGACACTTCTATGTTGACGTTTGAAGGTCAGAAGATCCAAGGCTCGCCGAATATTGTCGCCAAGCTTACTAGCCTTCCCTTCCAGCAGTGCCAGCACTCCGTTAGCACTGTCGATTGCCAGCCGTCCGGCCCCACTGGTGGCATGCTCGTCTTCGTCAGCGGCAATCTTCAACTCGCTGGTGAACAACATGCTCTCAAATTCAGTCAGGTATTGCGTTTTTTTTTTTTTTTTTTTTTTTAAT